TACTCGAGTCTAAAAAGATCATATATTTTGTTATGATTCTATATAATAATCTACGCACACACCAATTTGACTGATGCAACTCGTTTGAAAATCGTAGTAAACTTTATAACAAGGGTACAGTTAAACTTAGAGGCTATAATCAATATTTTTGAGAATAACAATTCATCAAATGACAATATGAAAACAATATAACGATATGGGTTACCTGATGGACCTACAGAGCATCTACAGCTCCCCTCAGCTTTAGCGAGCTTTATATTGGGTTTCAGCTCATTGTTAAGCTGTCCAGCCCATCACTTTATTGTTGTGGTTCACTCTCATCGGTTTCATAGCATTGTTTTCAGGCACAGCAGGTAGCTGGTTTTAGTGTAAAGCTCTAAAAGCCCACTGCACACTACATGCTCATCACCAAAAGGTAGAGACAGATAGCAACTAGCTAAAGAGCAAAATATTACCCTCAGTAGTTGGTAGAGATCAAAGGATATTGAATATTGAACTTAAATTCACCAGAAGGCCAGAAACATAACTCGGAATGAATGCTAATATTCCCCCATAACTGCTGGTTGTGTATATCACATACATAACTACTTAAAAGGTGACAATATATCAATGTTGTGTTGACATTTTGTTTTTGTTAACATCAAGACGCCACAATAATGACTTACTGCAGGGACAACAGCGGGTGCAAGTGACTCCAGGTCATGATGATGACAGATTATTACACACTACTACTACAATTATACAAGCAAGTTATTTAAAAGACTACAGCTCACGTGTTTGTCTGTAAGAAACTATTATGTTACAACATAATATAATTTCAAATATAATCTCTGTTGATTCAAAAATGAACGTGGAGTAAAACCAGCATGTCTTAAACACAAAATCAATCAAAAAGTAATAATTTTATTTTAAACTAAAAATATAGACTCCACTTATCACAAGATAAAATACACAACTTTATTAACATATTCAGTATAGATAGTCCTAAAAGTCAAACTCTGAATCAGGCCCTATGGCTGTACATATGCTTTGTTTTGTTCACTTAGAAACAGATTCTCACAAATCCTTGTGAGCTGATGAGTAAAAGCCTACCTCATATAAGATAACTGATGAACTTAAACACACTATATGTATACAATATATATTGTATCAGCTCTTTTTACCTGTGGTCCAAGCATGAGCAAAGTGCACTGGAATAAGCATTCACAGATTCACACAGACAGAAATACAAAAGCCTAACGAAAGCCCTGATATGGATCGCTGTCTGTAAAATAATGAATAGACAAAGTGTCTTGAGATAATATTTTTAATTATTTTTTCTTGTGTAAAAAGGATTTTTCAGAACAGTAAAAAGATGGACATTGTTGATAAAATGCTTCAATTCATTCTTCTAGGCTAGAATGATATAACCTACATGTGTCTAGTACATTCTTAAATGGTTTCCTAATACAGAATATTGCCCACAACAACGGTCTCCTTTGTTAACAACATTGTCATTAGCATTGCGTTGCCTTAATGCTTTTGCTGTCCCACTGTGAGTCACTGGAGCTGGATTGTAATATTTCCCCATTAATGGAGATTAAACTGGTCGTCCATGTTGGTGAGTCCTGCTGAGCGATGAGTGTAGTGTGTGGTCTTTTTGTAGGTATCCACATGCTTGTGTGCACGTCACTGCACGTGTGTGTGTGTGTGTGTGTGTGTGTGTGTGTGTGTGTGTGTGTGTGTGTGTGTGTGTGTGTGTGTGTGTGTGTGTGTGTGTGTGCGTGTGCACATATGGTAATGTCTTTTTCTGCATTTGCGTGTGTGTCCCATGTACCCTTGTTATGCTGACAGGCCTTTGCCCTTTAGTCAACCTGATTGAGTTTATGGACCAATGAGCATTGTATCCCACCTTGAATCCTAGTGATAGAATTGAATTAACATTTTGTCAACAGCAGGAAATGCACTAAATCCCCTGGGTGCAGTGATTACTTTGCAGGGACATTACATGTAATAACCTCTGTGGCTGAATGTCTGCCAAAGCTTGTTCATCATGCAGACAGATCTCTATAGACAGTCTAGACGCTGCTCTGTGAAAGTCTTCTAACTTACGTAATGTATATATAACTGTCATTCCAAACCCAATGAAATGCCATAACTTTTCTGCAATAATTTTTTTCTCCTAACTCCAGAAAATGTTTAAGGTTTCATAGTTCCGAATAAACAGAAGTGAACTGACATTTGATGTGATACTTACATAATGACAATTACCACCTAACAGTAGACAAATAACATAACTGGACCCTCCTTTTTCACTGGTCTTGTGCTCCAGGATGGGAAACTTTGTGTATTTGATGAGTTGTATATTGATCTTAGCCTGATTCCTTGAAATGTTATTTCCTCTTGTCTGGAGGGAAAGGATACTTAGTGGCGTTTCACTGTAATTTCTTTTACTGAATAATGTCTTGACACCTCATAGCATCCAATTATTATCTCCTTGTTAAAGCCCTTTTGATATTTCCAGCAGAATTATTAGAGGAAGGGGTCAAGAGATATGAAGATGAGCAGGTGGGATGTCACTGGTTGACAGATGGCAACGTTTGGCAGATACATATCCCATGTGCCATGCTTCATCTAATTACAGCACCTACTGTGTAATGATAATGATTTCCCAGATAGACTCTTGGATTTTTGCAAAAAAGCAATGCATTTTGTTAAATCTTCAAGATGTGACATTTAAAAATTGAAACCATGACATATTACACAGTCACATCTACTAGAGAGGGGTGAAGAAAATATTTGATGACCACTATTGAGGGAAGAAATTGTGCATCTATTATCTCCTACCTTTCCCTACTCTATACCTTCTCAGTCCATTATATGGAAACCTGTTCAGAATACTGTGTGGATCTATTAATGATCAATGGGTCTCTTCATCTCCTTTCTCTCTGCTCCCATACAGTGTGTCACTAATTGTTCTTCATCACACAATGCAAAACTCACCTACATACTGTAGGGATGGGTCTGTTTGTGTAGCATGTCTGTCAGCTTTTGCAGCAAACACAATTCTGCTTCTAAAGTGGTTCTTTGAATTTTATAATGATGCCAAATAGCACCTATTGCCAATACAAGAAAAGCTTGTGGTCACTTATCTCTTGACTCTTGAAGGGAAGCTTCTCAGTATTGGAATTGCTTCCCTCCGAAGCCCTTATGCCACTACCTCAGCCAACATTGCCTGGTAGTCACCAGGCTTGTGTTAAGGCAAAGCCATTGGCCTCATTGTAAACAGGACAGACGCAGTGCCATGTCATCGTTAATGGCATGACATCATTCAGGATAAGGACATTTCCTCTTTGCTTTATGCAATAAAGCATGTGATCAAACATGATTTTTGTCCAAGTATTGTGAATCAGTACCTGTAAGTGGAAATCTGCATCTCTCTCTCTCCCTCTCTCTACTGCACAGAGCTGAAGTATCAGCCTGGAATTTTTCGCTGACAGCATACAAAGTATTTCTGACCTTAACTCAGCCTGAAAGACGATATGGCTTTACATCTGAAGAAAATGTAATGTATTGTAAATTATCTTGAGAATTTACCACAGTGTGTGAAATCATCCGTCAACCTTTAACTTCAGATTTGGTAGAAAGCACTATAAATCTGTGTTGAACTCTTTACTTACTTTACTTAATTTAATAGACAAACTCAGCTACAACTGTATATGGGTCACAGCTGGAATTAATAGCGTGAAATTATAAATAAAAACACTGTGCTGTCTAAAAGAAATAGCATGAGCCATATCTTTGAATTAATGCATCATATTCATACACACAACCTAAATTGTTATTTTTGTTGCTCTCTGCATCTGTCCCTAACGAGAGTATATTTGGTCTCTGTCTGAAAATCAGTTGCACAGCACAGTACTTTACACTCCGTTTCCATGGGAACGTCAACCCTTTAAATGAATGTTGTTTTGCTCAAAAAGGGGTTAAAGTTCGTTTTTTCCCAGCACAATTTTTAAATTACTAAATGTAATTTATAGAGAAAATGGGTCAATGAAAAGTCAATAAAGGCAGTGTCGCAGAGAACTGTAAAATTTGAAATAGCACGCGAATGATATCTTGACCTTAAGCGTTTTAAGAGAAAAAAGAGAGGCCACTGAACACATTCTTTCTTTTTTTCTTGGGCATTTTTGTCTTTATCCCTATAGGACACTGAGAGATAGACAGGAAAGTCAGGGAGAGAGAAGGGGGATGACATGCAGCAAAGGGCCATGGGTTGGACTCGACTCACTGAGGCCATGCTTTTTTAATCAAACCTTGAATTTAGTCACAGTTATCTTTTATTTAACATCAGTGAAAGCCTGATCCGCACCAAATCACAGGACAAAATTATGGGGCTGATTAACAAAGGGTCAGTCTTGCTTTTGACTTTTTTGTTATTTGTTTCAGTTACATGTACTTTATGTAAGTGAGTGTTCATTTCAAAGTAAAGTGTAAAGGAGGAGAGGGAAAAGGACTTGCATGTGAAACTAGGGTACAGGGATTAATATTGATAATTCTGTATTCATCTATTGTATACATTTGGATGCCCGGTTCTGAAGCGTACTGTAAGTTTTGTGCAGTTACTTTTTAGGTATTTATCAAAAATATAAAAACTATCACTCTAATCCATTGTTGTGAATAAAAACATGATGTCCCTGGTTTTGCTACATTGACCTTTATCCACCGTCAGTCTGACAATGTTATTTAAGTCCAATGTTAAATCCGCAGTTGTATTTTTTTAATAGTTGAGAAACTTTTTGCCAGTAGAAGTACTGAATTTTTTTTCCGCCGCTGCATGTTTGTGTATCTGCTTCAGCCTGATGTTGTTTATTTAGGATTAATAAGGATTAGGTCTTTTAAAGAGAAACATTGTTATTTAGTTAATCTATCCCCCTGCCTGTGCCTGTCAGGTTTACCTACACAGAAACAATGTGTTCATGTGTATTGGCCTGATCTCTTCCTTGTTTTCTGTGTCCCAGGTTGCCCATGTGGGTGGCCAAGAGGATGGAGGCCATGAGGGCTGTGTGCCTGGCTTCCAGGTCAAACACTACCAGGTGGCAGACAGTGGACCCTTCCAGAAAGGCCAGCCGCTTGTACAAGGTCAGTGAAAATGCACAGAACACACATTTAACTGTTGTGAATCTAACTTTTTCTGACTTGCTTTGAACTTGTTTCTTCTTCTCTCTGAAAATTCTGTCATTCCACAACACAAATCTACATGTGGGTATATAGATACATACACACGCAAACCCTCAGTCTACCTATTTGGTTCCTGAGGATTTGAATAGCAGCATATCCAGGTGAGCTAAACAGAGTAAAGCCAGGCTCCCTCCAGGTCAAGGTGATGGAGTGGGTGTATGTGTGTGTATGGGCTGTTTTGTGCTTCACATTCATTAGAATTCATGTGGTTTTTGTTCTAAACGGGAGATAGAACTGGGTGCTTCTTTGCACTGACAACAATAACAAAATAACTTGTGTCTGCAAATGAATTATTCTCCTTGATTGGATGATATTTACAAAACTCTTGTTTTTTTTTTTCTTCTTTTGTTCCACCCCTGAAGACAGCTTTGGGCTGCTAAGTTAACTGCGCATGTGTTGTGTGCTCATATGCATGTGTTTGCCTCATGACTGTTATGCTGCAGCTTTTCAGTCCCAGCACACCAGTTTACCTTGCTTGAGTCGACATAGCCTTCTGAAGAAGTCGGTCCTCGACAGCCTCTGAGTTATATTTTCCTTTTTATGCAGAAATGTGTGTTTGATCTCTGCAGGTTTATGATAAATATATTAAAGATTTGAGACAGAGTTGAGAGGAAGGTCATGCGGTTCACAGCTGAGGAGTTGTTATTGTGGAGGTTCACTTCTATCTCTGAGCCAGTTGGGAGGCAGCCTTGTCACCCTTTTGTTACTGCTGTGACCAGTCAGGTTCCCCACAGACTCCTGCACTGCAAAACTCAGACCACAGAAGTCCAATCTCAACTCTATATTGCTGCCACAACTTATTGGTCCAGCCTGCCCCTCTGGGACCCTCTGGCAAAGACTATCTACACAGCCTCACTCCGTCTCCACAGAGATCAGCAATAATGTTTGCTGGCTAGCAGTCTGCTCCTCTGGGGTAGTGAGTCTCTCCACAGAGATCAACAAGAAGCAGTCAGCCACCGGTAGTTGTACTACAGAGCTTAGGAAGTTTTAACTAATTCATTTGCTTAAAAATTCATTCACTTTTGGCTTGAGTTGTTGCAGTTTTATTTGTATAAGATGATGAAATACAATGGAAATATGTAAATTCAAATGGGAATAATTTATAGTTTGTTAATGCAGTCTGTCATTTATTGTGGAACTTGTTTTCATTCCATGTTCATTATTCAACCACTTATTCATTTATTTCATCATCCCACATTGTTCTCCACATTACAAGGCTACATTGGTAGAATGTCATTACCTGCATCAGTGACATGTACATTTACTTCTTTTATGGCTGGAGTGTCATGCAGTGCTTGTAGAGGTGTTCTTACACAGCACAAACTTTTTTTAAGTGCCACTCTACTGACAGACAGCTTTTCCAATTGAAAATACATACTTTCCTACCTAGATGGCAAAATATGACAAATCTGAGCATTTTCTCCTTCAGTCTTATTTTTCTTCTTTTTTGGCTTTATTGTGTTTGATTCGGTCAGCCAGTGAGACATTTTGTCATCTGGAGACTCAGTGGTGCGTGTAGTAGGAGACAGAACTCAGTTCTGCTTTAGTGCTCTGCTCTGGGACGACAGAGTGGTTCCATTACCTTGAATATACTCTTGTCAGCAGAAACACCTCTCACCATGGGGGATCCTGCTCCTCACAAGTTATGGACAAAAGCATAGGCATGCACTCGCATGCCCACCACACGCATACATTTACACACGCATACATTTACACACACACACACACACACACACACACACACACACACACACACACACACACACACAGGGCAAGCATATGTATGCATGAAAACTCTGCACACACACAGATGAACGCTTGAAAAAAAAAAAGACATTTGACAAAGGAAACAAATAAGGCATAAGAATTCAGAAATCATCGTGAAAGATGTATAATTTGTGTCTATGGTTATGTCAGTGACTGCTCTGTAATATGTGGATGCATCGATTAGATGCAAGCATGTTAGCTTAATAACAGCAATCAAGTGTGTCTGTTTTTGCATGGCTTGCAATGTGTGTGTGTGTGTGTGTGTGTGTGACTTCAAAGAAAAATGAAAGGGAAAGCCATTTGTTAGCACAAATAATTCTGTGGATTCACCAATATATATGGATTTCAGAGGGGAGCATTGAGACTATATTACCTTCCCACCATCCATTTTGTTAAATTTGAACAAATTGTCTGCTGAGTGTGAACGTGATTCATACAGAGTGCCAGAGGCTGCAGCCAGGCCCAGTGACACATGCAGATTTATGTAAATTCTGCTCAGCCCTGTGCCACCTGCTGTAGACCTTCCTGTGTAATTACCAGTGGAGGGGTGGTCTGTTAGCAAGAGATACCTGTTGGCGTAGACTCGGGTTCAAGGACATCCATCTTGGCTAATGGCCATATCTGAGAAACAAACGCATGCTGTATGCAGTGTGCAAACACTCACTTTTTCTCTGTCTTTTTTGGCACCCTTAGTTTTCGTTTTGCCACTCCATCACTATTGTTATACAATTCCTCTCTCTGACTCTTGCTTTTGCTACTTATCTTTCACTTTTGTCTGTCCTCAATGCACTCCACTCTGGTCATAGCTTACATGAAAAATTGATGCATGTGTAAATAGAAGCAAATGGAAAAGGACTAGGTCACAAATGCCAGTGGAGAGCATTTCTCTCTCTCTCTCACCTCATGACCTCCGGAGAGTCATAATTTCAAATGGTATAGATGTATAGTGGAAGTAGAGACACTTTTATATTGATAGATAGCATGTGTAAGACATATGGTCCTCAGGAGAAAAGGTGAGCTCCATCTCTATCCCTGCTAGATTACATGATTTGATTTTGTAGTCTCAGTGGTGTCATCATTCAATCAGTGGAACTGGACCCAATACACACTAAAGGTTAATCATGTATCCACTTTGAATACTGAAACTGTCAAAGTTTGTCTTCCAAAATTTCTTCCAAATATCTCAATGTACCGATGGATAATTTGAAAACTTAAAAATCTGCATTGCTGTATTGAAGTGTTACATAGTTTACCTCACACTGCCTATGGTCTACAGCTCTATTTGAAAACCACTCTGAACAAAGCAGAAATTAATTTCAAAATATAAAAGGCTTAATGGAAAAGCCTGAAAATGTCTTTTTACCAAGCTGTTGAGTTTATTCAGGTGTAAGAGATGTTTGACCTGATGGCGAGGAATGCCATTTCTGCTGAATAATGAGTACAATGAAAGATGGACTGCAATTTATGAAACTAGACTATGCAATTTCTGAAGAAACTGCAGTGGGATTGCTGGCTTGTGGAAAAGCTGACACATAACTGCATTGCTTGCCACTAAAAAGAAAATGTGAATTTATTTTTTTTGAAACATATTATATATCTGATGATGATGAATGATTGCAAGTAATATCCTCTGAAGCGATACAATCACGATTATGTGTCTGATTGTGTGTGTATGGAGTCAGCTAGAAGCACCAATTGAAATGAACACATTAAGACCTAAGGGGCCCTCTAAAAACATGGTCTAAATCATGGTCAAAAGTATTGTTTGAGGGTCTTCTGAACAAGGTTTTCCTAAAAGCTTGACGTTCACTAAAAGCCCTATTACTCAGCCTCTGAGGCAGATAGAAGCATAAAATAAAAAGAAACATGAAATGAAAACCATTTAAGGGCTTTAACATTGACTTTTATTGTAAAACATTGGTTTGCCCTGGAAATTGGATATGGCTTGGATATGAAGCACATTCATCACTATTCTCAGTTCAGTTCAATTTTGTTAACATTTATTGATTTTTCTTCTTTGAATATTGAAGAACATTTGGGTAAAGGCAATGATTTACAAGAAAAATCAAAAGTTTAAGGTCTCAAATGGTTTTCATTTCATGTTTATATCTGCTTCAGAGGCTGAGAAATAAAGGTTTTAGTTGCATCGGGTGAATATTTACCTCTTGCTAGCACTGATGCTTGCTCTCTGATCCTCCTCCTCTCTTCCTCCTCCAACATCTCACCCTGAGCCTTGGCTAGCTGGCTAGCATCTTAGTTGGTTGAAGTCAGTGTCAGAAATAAACTCCCGAATGTTTCCTGACTAAAACTGTATAAAAACATATTTCCTGTGAAAACTGTTGAAGTGTGTGTTAATCCATATGTCTTGTATGTAGCCTGGGAACAGTCTGAAGCAAGACTTAAACAGAAATGTCAGTCAAGTATTTGATAAACTCCTCAGAATTTGTCTAATCAGCTGATCTGAAACAGCTGTTTGTGCCCAACTGCAGTCAGAGGTTGTCATGGTGATTTTAATTGCTTAGTTTTTTTGGCTCTACTGAGGGAGACATGGATTCAGCTGAGAGACACCTCTGGAGCTCTGGCTTGCCAATCTAAGGCTGTTAAATCCTATCGGCTAAAGCTTTATATTTTCAGTTTAACACCTTCTCTGTCCAACAATTGTTCGAGACATAACTGAAAAAAAGTGTTGTTTTGAATCTCCTGATTGAGCCACACATTTTGACGTTGGCACCTAACTGATCTTGCACGAATGGTGCAGGACCACTTAGGTGTCAAAGCTGAAGAAAGAGCTGAAGAAAAATAATAAACAGAACATTTTTGGACCTGATAACAAAATATAGTGGGATCACTGCAATCCCTCCAATAACTGTGCACAATGGAATTGATCCTTTATTTGCTCTAAATAATAGGCTGCCAATTTAATGTTGTCTGGTTCACTGTAACAGCAACCACTGCCATTAGGAAACATCCTGTAGATGTACAAAAAAATGCATTTTTTCTGAATGCTTTGAGATTGAAGGAGGAATTCAAACACGGGCTTTACCTTTATACATTTTACAGGAAGAAGTGCTACCTTTTAGAGTGTTCCAAATACCAAACAGCGTCTCCACAGGGTCGAGATGCATTAGCCAGAG